GCCGGTGTCATTGCCTCCTCTGACTTCGTCATCACCAATCACTCAGGTGCCTTCCCAGTCATCGCTGCAGCAAAAGCACCAGGTGGGAAAAGCAACACCTCAAGGACTTGGGCGGAATGCGCAAAGTGGCCCAAGTGGATTAATGAATCAAGCGGGAAAACAACGTCAAAGACAAGCTCAACAAATACAGCAGCAGTATCTGCAATCTGGCAGGCAACATCCCCAACAGCGTCAACAATCACAGTCTCAGCCACCAGCTAAACTATTGAAAGGAATGGGAAGAAATAACGTGCTGATGCATCAAAATCTTCCCATTGATCCGTCTCATCTGAATGGCCTTACAGCTAACTCAGGAAACCAAGTTGCTGAGAAAGGGGAGCAGGATGTGCATTTGATGCAGCCTCAGGGCTTATATCCAGGATCTGGTGTAAATACGATGCAACAATCAAAACCTCTGGCGTCACCCCATAGTTCAAATCAGTTGCAACATCAAAAGCCATATGCAAATTCCGTTCCGGCAGCACCAAAACAAGGCCAAATACCTTCTCACTTGGATGGTAGCAATCAGAGCCAGGTTCCAGTTGTTTCTTCTAATCCAGCATCTGGAGGGTCAACCCAAGGACTTCCCTCAACCGTAATGCCTTCTCCTAACCATCAACCGTTACAAGGACAGTCACAGCCTCCCCTTAAGGTGGTTAGTCAATCTCAGCCTGCTCTTCAGAGGGCAGTTCATCAAAATCGTCAAGTGAATTCTGATCCTTTGACCAAATCGCAACCTGATCATGCCCCATTGGAGCAGCAGTATGCGAATAATACTTTAACTGCAGGGGTTCAACCAGCATGTGCTGATTCTACTAGTGCCATACCTGCACCATCTTCTGCCGGCACTGCTGCACGTAAACAAGGTCTGGAATCTCTAAGCGATCCAACTTTAACTAATCCACCCACAGCATCAGGTCCTATCAGCAGTCCTGCTATTACAACTTCATCAGATAATGAAACTTTACCGTCAGTTAACGATGGTCTGGGGCAGAGGCAGCTATCAGGTAACTTGGCAGTTCATGGACACGGGGTACAATTTCAGCACCAACAATCACAGCTACAACATCCATCACCACTTCAACCCATTTTACCGCAAAAGCAGTCACAGCATCAGCTGCAGCAACTTGAAAAATCCCCCCAGAGAGTACCACAATCACAGGCTCAGTCACAGATTCAAGCTGGGCAAAGTGGTGTGTTTGCAAGGACCCCTAATTCGAGATTGGAATGATCCTCCCCATTTATTGAGTGCTAGTCTCGGCACGCTTGTACCTGCCAAGATCAAGTCGGCATGCTCTTGTAACAGCAATGTACAGGTGAGTTTCAATTGAGACTTCAATTTTCCTCCAGACCAGGTGTTGCATCTAAACTTGTTTTGTGGGAGTGTGATGGGTAGTGTCTGTTTCTTTCTTCTTGGATGGGTTATGGGTTTGTTAAAGTGACAGTAGGATTAGACACTTGGCAGTTATTTGCTTGACATGGAATAATGAGTTGTACTTTTTGTTGAAAGGTAATTTAAAAAGGTTAACTGGAAAAGACAAGAAATTACTATAAAATGTGGCAAGCTGCTACCTAATTTACCCCCTCCCTCCATTGAATTTGGGGATGTCTACTCCCACACCCAGCCAAATGTTTTCTTTTAATACCTAGGGGATTTTGTATTTTGATGGATTTTCGATTTTTCTGGGAAACATGACTTCCTTATCTAATTACTTATCACTTGATACTCCCTACTAACTTCTTAAAAATCACCTTGGGCCCATGTAATCACTCTTCCTGGCTTTCTTGTATATCTGTGAGGCTGTGCTTGTAGATTGATGGGGGGAAGAAAGCAGCTGAAAAGAGTGGAAAGATATTAAATGTCTTTATTTTTTATCTTTCCTTGTTCTGAACTTTAGAGCTAGTTGAATCTGATTTGTCTGTAATTTCAAGCCTAATCACAGGTTGTGAAAATTTTTGAAGCATGCCTATCTCTAACCAAATTATTATTCTTTATTCTTGCCTCTATTCCTTTGTTTGTTAACTATAATGCTCTTTCCCTTGGGTAGCATGCTCATGTTTTGTGGGTTCTCTAAGTTTCTTTATGCAACTTATAGTTTAATTGGTTGGTTGGCTGTGGCTACTTCCTTTCCTGTATTCAGGCAATTGAAAGGTCTCTAAATTGCATCTGTGTTTCAGGTTTTTAGCTGTGACAAATTTATCTCTGTTGGGCTAAATTGATTTTATGGATGTCATTTAATGAGATGCTAACTAGGCTATGACATTACTTACAGATGAAGCTGTTAATCTGCAAGGGCACTACAGGGAAAAGGTAAATGGGATGATGATCGTAACTTTCAGGTTACTGACTTGACAAGTTTAGGCAGGCCTTTTTTGGGTTTATAATGTATATTACCACTGCTTAGAGCTTTGTGAAGATAGAGATTATAGAGGTATGTATGTACAGGATCTCATCTCTCTATCTTGTTAACCACCCTTTTTTTTTTTTTTTTTTTTCTAATCCTTTTCCCCTCCCCAAACTTTGGGTTTCCCGCTCATCAATATGGGGTCTTATTCCTTTCCACCCCCAATAGTTAGTCCATGTATTATTTTGATTAGAGTTAAGGGGGGAAGCTTCATTGTTACAGGCAAATGCCTTTGAAAATTTTGTGAATATAGCTTCGTAGTGTATAATGATTTTTTTTATCATTATCTTGATCACCTTTTGTTCTCTTGCTCTAATTGTAACTTTTTTCATAGTAATATTAGTATGTATTCCTTGTTTTGTAAGCTGATTTTGTGAGAACTCTGCAAATGTTAGTTTAAACATTTGCTCTCTCCTTGGTTATTGTACAATTTGTGCTGCGGTTCAATAGCTTTGAAGCTATATCCTTGATTAGTTGATTCCCATTCTGCTATATAAAGGAAAAAGAGAGTGTGAATAGCTGAAAAAGAAGCAGCAAGAGAAGAGCAAGCCTGTTTATTTTTCTTTTGCAGGTATGTAGTCCTGATTGCTTGAAAGAGGGGACTTCTGTTCTTGTGAGGTGGAGAATGATGGGTGGAAATGTTACTTTGAGGTGATTACTATGTGTTATGGGATATGAGGAGCAATTGAAAAGGGTTGCATCCTGCACAAGTACCGCTGCAATATAGTGTGGTTCCCTCGTTCATATGTTATGATTTCATATTTGACTTGTCATAGAAATTTGAACTGTTGTACGATTGAAACATGTTAGCTCGTTTACATTTTGATCTTTGTTTTGTACATTTACAAAGAAGGTAGGCGTACGACAGTAAGCTGTCTCAAGCTTCATGGAGATTGTATCTAGAAGCCTTATCTAGGAGCTTTATCTAGGAGCTTATAAGTTTGTATATAATCTAAATTTCTTTCAGCCTTCCTATTCAACTATTAATTCCTCGTTGCCATCATTTTTTCCAATTCAACTGCGACTTAACTACCTAACAGTAGCGGCTCATATTATCAACGAAAATTGGTTTAAAATAATACCAACTATCTACGGTGTGAGCAAAATAATACGAATTTTACTATTTGCTATTAGTAGTACCACCTTTTATATTATATGTGCAAAATAGTACTTCAGTCACTGGAAAAGTATAGTCTATTTATTATTATTATTATTATTATTATTATTATTATTATTATTATTATTATTATTATTATTATTATTATTATTTTTCTGTTTTACATCATATATACACCAACCCTTTGTTAGGCAATTTTTTTTTAATATTCAATATGTATTTAATTTTTTTTTTTCAAAATACTTGTAGTAATTTTTACTACAACGCAATAGTAAATAGGGTATTTAAATGCATTATTTGATGTAATTAGTTTAAAAAATTGTTTAAAAAATCCAAAAACTTCCCCACATTATTTTGGTTGGTGAATGCGGGGAAAAAACCTAACAAAGGGCACTATTACGTATATGAGAACCTACCTAAATAAGTTCGAAGTTTAGCCGCTTCAAGAAGTCTAGATGGACATATAGACTTTGATGAACTTATGAAAGATACGGATACATGGCTGTTTAAAAGTGTCAAGTGATGATTAATTCGATTTGTCTTGTGTGTACTTCACCTTCGAATGGTTGGATTTATATGTGTGATTCAATCCACATGGAAATCATGGGATATGATCATTGTTAAGTGTGTTGTACTAGGTGTCAATTCAATCCGTAGGGACATTGACATTGATGCATGAGATGTGGCTAAATTGATAGTTGTGGAGAAGGTTTAAAAGTATACACTCTATATGGGGGAGGATTATTGGAATATATAGTGTATGTGGGGAGCCAGGATGCCGCGCCCGCGGGTCTGAGGAGAGTTCTCTCCCAAGGCGCGGTCCGGCATCTCCAGAAAGTTGGGAGTGAACCATGTTCACCCTGTCCGCGCCCGCGGGTTGGCTACCGCACCCGCGACCCTCTGGCAGTTGCAATTTTTCGATCTTTTATTAAAAGATATGATTGAGAGATTATGAAATGATTTAGTTTTCTCTTTGGTTCTTTCTCTCCAAGAAAAATAATTCTCCATGTTTTCATTGCGAAATCTTGCAAACTTCTCATTGAAAACTCTTGAAATTTAGCCTTCTTTGTGAATTGTTCATTAGATTTCGATTCTAGTGCTAAGAACGAAATTTGCTGTCAATTGTATCTCAAAGAGGATTTCCGGTTTAACTCAAGCACCGTGTGGGGGAAATAAACCTCTTTTGGAAAGTGTATACACGCCTTTGACAGTGTATCAAGGTTTGAGTTTTACGGGACATAATTATTCTCATGTTCATGCTTGTTGTCATCGGATTGGAGGAAAGGCAAGTTTGATCTTTTCACACTAGTGTATTCTTTGTAAATTTCTGTAATTTCTTAGAGTTAGATAATACTTGATTGAGATACATTGTGTTGTATTTGATATTTACAATTTATATTGTAATCATATAATTTAAGATTTGTTCCAACACATATTTTAAGTGTTTTCTTTATTGAAATCACTGTAATCCTAAATGCAAATTTTTTTTTTTCTATTATTCATGGGCAAAGTCTTAAACCGCTACTGGTTTTACCTCAAAACCACTTTGCCTATAATTTTACAAATTTAACATCTTGATAAGGGCGGCCTCTTATGAATCACCCCAATTGAAGGAAACTCGTCTTCTATCAAATGCATCAAAATGCTATTCCATGCCGCAATAAGCTTGCGGAAAATCTCTTACTGTTGTTCTTCATTACCCTGTTTTTTCAATGAAATTAACACCCATTTCTTCTTCATTCCACCATTTTTACTTCTGAAAAATGCTCATTATCACTCTTTTGCATCACCAGTAACTACTAATTATAGAAACTACGGCAAAAACTTTGATTACCCATCTTCAAAATCTAATTTTTCAATCAACCCTAGTTGTTCTTTGTCTCCTGCAGATTACGCCTCACTTCTTAAATCGTGTATTTCTCAAAGAGCGATTGAACCTGGTAAGCAGATTCATGCTCAAATTTGCCTATCTGGGTTAGCTTTAAATGTTGGTTTAGCTACAAAACTTGTTGATCTTTATTGTAATTGCAATGCTTTGGTTTATGCACACCAACTGTTTGATAAAATGCCTAAGAGTAATTTGTTTTTATGGAATGTTATGATTCGTGGGTATGCGTGGGATGGACCTTATCAAGTTGCTATATCACTTTATTATCAGTTGCTTGATCATGGGCTTAATCCTGATAACTTTACTTTCCCTTTTGTGCTAAAGGCGTGCTCGGCGCTTTTGGCTGTTAAGGAGGGTAGGGAGATTCATGAGCATGTTATCAGAATTGGTTGGGAGAATGATGTGTTTGTGGGTGCTGCACTTATTGATATGTATGCAAAATGTGGTTATTTGGAGAGTGCTAGAGGTGTTTTTGATAAAATTGTAAGTAGGGATGTTGTTTTGTGGAACTCTATGCTTGCTGCTTATGCCCAAAATGGGCACCCGGAAGATGCACTTACTTTGTGCAGTGAGATGGTGTTTGCGAGTCAGAGGCCTACTGTTGCTACCTTGGTGACAGTTATCTCGGCTTCAGCTGACATTGGTGCCCTTCCTCAGGGGAGGGAGATTCATGGGTTTAGTTGGCGGCAAGGGTTTGCGTTTCAAGATAAGGTTAAAACCGCTCTTGTAGATATGTATGCAAAATGTGGGTCAGTTAGAGTGGCAAGGAGAGTGTTTGAGAGGCTTCAGGAGAAAAGGGTAGTTGCTTGGAATGCTATGGTATCTGGGTATGCTATGCATGGTTGTTACAATGATGCAATCGACTTATTCGAGGAAATGATCAGTCAAGGTTATGTGTGTGATCATATTACTTTTGTTGGGGTCCTTTCTGCTTGTCGCCATGGTCGTTTACTGGATGAAGGTTGGAGATATTTTAACCAAATGATTGAAGAGTATCATATCAATCCTACGGTGCAACATTATACATGCGTGGTTGATCTCCTTGGCCATACTGGCCGACTAAAGGAGGCTCACGATCTCATTATGCAAATGAAGGTTACGCCGGATTCTGCTGTTTGGGGTTCATTGCTAAATGCGTGTAAGATCCATGGAAACGTAGAATTGGGGGAATTAGCATTGGAGAAGATCATTGAGCTTCAACCTAATGACTCTGGGAATTATGTGATTTTGTCTAATATATATGCACAAGCTGGACAATGGGATGGAGTTGCAAGGGTGAGAAGATTGATGATTGATAAAGGAGTTAAAAAGAACATAGCATGTAGTTGGATTGAATTGAAAAATGAAGTTCATGCTTTCCTCTCTGGAGACACTTCGCATCCCATGTGTGACACTATATATGCAGAACTAGAGAGGGTGACAGGATTGGTAATGGAAGCTGGGTATTCTCCAACTACTGGGACAGTATTCCATGATGTTGAAGATGATGAGAAGACCGGCATGGTATGCAGTCACAGTGAAAGGCTAGCAATTGCTTTTGGACTTATCAGCACTCAACCTGGAACAAGGCTTCTTATCACGAAGAACCTTCGGGCATGTGAAGATTGTCATATCTTCATTAAATTTGTCTCAAAAGTGACACAAAGGGAAATTATTATAAGAGATGTCAATCGTTACCATCACTTCAAGGATGGCGAATGTTCTTGTGGTGATCATTGGTAAATTAGATGGGAGTCTTCCTATTGATATGCTAATGGTGTCTATATGCAGTGAAAGCAATATCTGGTATCTACTCCCTCAGTCTTCCAGAAACAGTCTGGAATCAGTTCCTCTCTTAAGGTATCTTCATGTTCTCAATTTGATGGCTCCCATCACTTTACCATGAGTCTTGTAACTCTTTTATGTTGCTTTGTTCTGGCATATTTCCTGTTTATTGGTCACGTGGTTAACACCTTGTTTGTTTTAGAGATGCAGAATATGCAGTTCCTAGGTCTGGCATTCTATTCCAATAAATCATCAGCTGAAACTTTAGCAGTACATTTTTATGCCCTGGAAGAAATGTTGAACAAAGAATCAATCGGCTTGTGCATATGCCTGCTGGTGGAAGCAGCTTTTGTATGATGTCCGGAACCATTAAACATGCCAATCTCAAGACCATTGGAGGATCTGTTTCTATGTGAATTCTGACTTCAGTTTTAACGCTATTCATGAAGATGGAAGGACTGAAGGAGCTAAGGTTATTATTTGATCATTTTACTTATTGGGTTTAGTATGGTAAAGTTTTTGGAGCTGCCTTGACCACATACTATAATAATGATGTGAAAGGAAAAGATTCTTTCTTGACCTTGTTAGAAAGAGGCAACTTTGGCATAGGTTGTGGCAGCAGCATCAGTATCAATTGCTTCCTTTGTTTTCTGCTTTAGTTATGCATATTCAGGCTTCAGGTCCGATATTCTGTATATGCTGATGCATTGAAATCACCCAGAAATCAGGATTCTGTGTATGCTTTACCGACCGTTGGTTTGTCTTGAAGTCATTGAAGTGGTATAACGGTATAACTATAACCTCTCTAAGTTTTTGCCACCTCGCAAGTTCCATGCAATTCTTGGTTTCATTAACTATCTGCAATTACAGTTCCAGCAATATCAAAGTTGTTTAAATACCAGTTCCAGCAATCATCAGGATGAGGTTGGTCTTCTTCATGCTCCTGCACCATCTCGTTGTCTTCTCTTACCATCGACATTGTAAGGCTGATCTAGTCTTCCCTCTAAGTGGTAAGTAAACTCAGCTATATCTTCAGAGGGGAATTCAACCAAGTCATGAAATGAATTCTTGACCCCTGATTAAGCTGTGATGAGCTGGTCATTCTTCAGTAGGTTGCCGACATTTGTTACTAAAACCAGTTAAATGTCTTGGCTTTCTGCTAGAACTGTTGCTAGTAAAGCAGAAGAATCTCTGTAATTATTTGATGTAACTTTGGTGTCTAATTAATGACATTTTGGGTCATTTTCTGGCATAATTATACTGCCTAACTAATGGCTTCCAGAATTCGATAGGACAACCTAATTGTACTTTTTGGTTTGAAACATCCTAGTTGTACTTTTACCTTGATTCAAAAGCTCATTGTATGCAGTAATTTGCAAGGGTGTGGTGATGTATGTTTAACAGAAGTAATTTGCAATGGTATGGCGGTAATTTGCAAGTGTATTGTACCCTCGTGAGGAGGCAATCCTAATGTTTTTTTTATCTTACCTTTATTAAAATAATAATAATTATTTGCAAGTGTATTGACAACGATTATAGAATGGAGGAATTAGTCTGTAGAAAGAATTAACTTATGTCAAAGTTATTAACTTATGATAAATGAATAATTTTCCCAATATTGACTCTGCTAAACATAATAATTTCTGCAATGATAAATCAAGTCATGATTCCTCCTTTTACTTGTTGACATTTTAAAACTCCTATCAGTCAACAATTTTTAATTTACTTTCATTTTTTAATTGTTGGCAGGAAAATGTTAACAGTTAAAAAATAGTTCAAAAACCAATAAACTACTGTAATTTGGAAGTGTTGACTTTTATAAGTACTATTAAAACTACTCCGTAATGAACAGTTAGTCACAATGTACTGTACATAAAAGCAGCAGAACATAACTCGGAAGTGTTTGAACATGCAAAGTAAAGACAAGATTCTTTTAAACACCAAAAAAAAAAAAAGACAAGATTCTTTTGAAGAACATCATTTTTGTTATTCTGAGTTCTTCTCAACTTCATACAGTACAATTTAGTAAATCATAGTTTTGATATCACTATGAAGTACAGTACTTGGTATATTACAAGATTGACCCTACTCAATATTACAAAACTACACCCAAAGTACCATTTCTACTTTCAGAGACTACCAAATAAAAATGCAGATCATCCATCATCAACCTAAACTTTATTGCAAGTTTGTAACACAAAATTAACAACAAGAAAAATAAATTACTCTCTTTGGATTCGATTCGATACTAATAATTCCGTTACAAGTATAATTTGAACTAGTAACGGGACAACTAACTTGGGACATAAAAAAAAATTGAAAGTTTTGATCACAAATCTGGACTCATCATCTTCATCTTCTTTTGAGAGGAAGAAGCAGCAGCAGAAGCATCAGTAAAAGCCTTGTTAATCAACTGAATAGTTTTATGTTGATAAACAAGAATCATCTCCCTCTTCTTACTCTCCATTTCAATCCTCAATCTTTGATTATCTCTCATGAAATCCAATTTCTTCTTCTCAATTCTGACAAAATTCTCAGCAAATCCCCTGAATTGAGCACCCAATTGAGCCATGAAATTCCTCCCATTTTCTCTCTCCTGAACCCCACCAACCTCCTCATCTCCATCTTCAAAGCCAACCTCATCATCATCACCTTCCCAATAACTCTTCCGCTTGTTGAGACCTCCAAAATCACCCCCTCTTCTTCCGAAACCCCTCTTCAAATCCCTCCTCAGCTTCTCCATACTCCCGAAGCGAACACCCCCGCCTTCCTCGTCATCATCGTCGCTACCGTGTCTGACATAATGATTACTATTATTGTTACCATTGACATCGTAGTACCTGCTGCTGTTATTATTATTGTCAGCGGGAGCGATAGCGGAGATGGGGAGAGGACCCCGCTCGAGCTGATCCATCAGACTAAAATAGATCCAAGGATGATTGTGGTAATTGAAATTAGGACCCATCTTCTGCTTTTCGGCACGGTACCGCTTTCGAAGCTTCTCGATCTTGTGGCGGCACTGAGTGCCGGACTTAGAGGGGTCGTCAAGGCCGCAACGAGCAGCGACAGTGATGGCGACTTCCTCCCATTGAGAGGCTTTTAATTGGCCGCGTTTGAGGGAGTACCATTTTTCTTGGTAAGCTTTGATGAGGTTCAGGGTTTCTTCGTGGGACCATGGGATTGGTTGGGGTTTTTTGAGGGGTGAGTATGAGAGGGCTTGGATGATTGGTGGTGGTGGTGGTGGTGGGGTTGATGTGGTGGTGGTTGTGATTGCGGCGGTGGTGGGAGGTGAGGGAGGTGGTGATTGTGGTGGTGGTGATTGGGGTTGGGGTTGGGGTTGGGGTTCGGGTTGAGGAGAGGAGGACATTGTGGGAGGAGAGAGAAAAGGGAGGAGAGAGAAAGGGAGAAAAGATGGGGTGGTGGTGAATGGTGGTGTGGTGGTGGGTGAAGGTGGGGTTCATAGGAGGTTGGGTGAATGGATTGGGGGGTTTGGTGAGATGGGTAGTTAATGGACCCGACCCATTTGGGGTGGGTGGGTTTTGACCCATGTGATGCGGATTTAAAAGCCGATAGCGAGTATTTTTGTAACCAAGTATTTGGACCGACTGATAATGAGTAGTTACGTTAATCAAAGTGTTGGGGTTAAAACTTAGAACATAACACAACAATGCTTGTGGGGATGGTTTACTCCTAATTAGAATTTAACCTGGATCAAGTTCGGATTAGTTGAATTCTAATATCTTGATTAAATAGCATGGTCGCGCAAATGGAGCAGTTTATTTATTTATTTTTTTTTAATTTGTACAATGATGTATATAATATTCGATTTAAAACTATAGCGTCTATTTTCGTCATGGTCTGAAGGGACGAAGTAACACAAAAAGGTGTATGCTCTCCTTGCTCACACTATGAAGCGAAGCAGAGCAAAAGGAAGATCTTTTAGACGGTTTTTAACAATATTGTTACCTTGTCGGCGTGGCGTGGTGAAGAATTTTTCTAAATGTAAATTGATCTGTTTTCACCATTGCTTTCGAGAAACAAATTAGACAACGTATTTTGTAGCTTTTTTTTTTTTTTTTTTTTTTTTTTTTTTTTTTGTAATAATAGCCATAATCGTTCTTTCATGTATTAATGGTTTAACTCTTAAAATGGTTCGTTCTCAAGGTAGATTTATGGAAAACATTCAAAAATAAATAAATTAAAACGCAGAGTTGTTGCTGCCCAGGATCGAACTGGGGACCTTCAGTGTGTAAGACTGACGTGATAACCACTACACCACAGCAACTTTGACTAATACCTTTTACTGGTAGCGCAATTAATCATCATAATTTTGCAAATTGTTGTTTTGCAGCGCATAAAAAATTGAATAAATGGATCTCACTTTAATTTTAGATCCAAGCTTGATTAGTTGTCTTTATAATTATCCACATGCTTAAGTATTTACCATCCAAAACCAAAAGCAAAGGCATTATATTTTTTTTTTTGGTGAGAAATACAAGGATATTTATTTTATAATATAATGTAAGATAAGAACCGTAAAAATATAATAACTTTATTATCCTAATATTTCGTATTGAATTACAATAAGGTGTACATGAGCTATGAGATAGACTAATAAAATTATTGCGAGGCAATAGATTGAAATTCCTCGTACAAAGACATAACAAGTCACCTAATTTTATCAAACGAAGTACGTGAATTCTCCTCATATGGTAGTAAAAACTTGCAAATTTTATCATACATTTGTCAAAGGTGGTATTTTGACGTGAACATCCTCATAATTATCACAAAAATAGAAAATTACAAGGATTCAAAGCAAAATTTACATCCATGAATTTGAAGAGCTACAATTAACATCTAATATGCTACTTAGGTCTTCATTTGTTGGCCTTACATAAACTCATTTTAGAAATTTTAAGGGTTGATAAGATAACTAACGGAAGATAAGTTCAATTAGGGGTTATTAAGAGCAACTCAAGTTCAATTTGAAATTAAAATAAGTTTTTATTAAGTGCAAATCAAATGAATCAAACATGCTCTTATGTATATAGGCAAAAAGAATATGAGTAGATGAAAATCCTATGACTGTCGAGTATATTGGGAAAATAGGCGTTTGAAGGGCCAGTATAATGAATTTGAGATCCATAGTTGTCTATCAAGCTAGGCCAATCGCAAAGTTTGTCATGGAATCAAGTGCACAAATTAAACATACTGTACAAATAATAGTAGATATATGCTATATAGACTGATGAGATCTTGTATCAAATGCTAAGTGAAATAGAGAAGAAACAAACAATTGAATTGTCTTTTTATTCGCACAGTCGCATTAAGTGGAGCATTGGACACCTTTTGAAATTCACTTTTCATCATACTTCATAAGTTCATATAGAGAGTATGTAGTTTCCAAAATTCCAAATCCTGTTTTCCTTCCAAAACAATCATCACAGTTTTAAACACTTCATTTAGATACACTAGAGTAAATGGGTTTAATTCAAACCGCTAATATGAATCTGATGGTGTGCGCAAAAAATTTATAAGTGCAAAACAACAAAATAAAAAAAAGACAGGTAATAATGTAAAAAGAAAAAAAAAAAAAAAAAAAAAAAAAAAGAAGAGGGGAATTTATTTCCTATCCCCTTGCATATTTTATAGCATTTCCAATTCTAATACAGTACAAAATTAGGCCATATCTATTGTTACATCTTGATATTCTCTCGTTTTTGTTGAAAACGGTATTATGTATCGTTCCCTTAAATCCTAATCTAAAATCTCTAGCTTTAAATTTTGTATGGCCGATCTATACACACAAGCAAAATCTAGTTAGCTATACACACAATTCTGTGAAATGACTGCACTGCACTGGAGTCCGCTCGAGCAGTCGGAGCAATAAATTAAAAATACCTGCAAGGGTAGTCATAACATGCAAAGATCAGATAAGAAAAAAAAAGAAAGAGGGCAAATAGAGGCAAAGGAATCAAGCAAGTTACCAGCTGTAAGAATTTGTAGTCATTAGTCAGCAACGTCAATGTTGAAGGAAGTAACAAACACGCACATAATACTATTTTGATCCATCCTATCGACTTTCTGAAGGGGCAGGTTTCCAACTTCTCCTCCAACACGTTGGTCTCTGTAACAAATACGGTAATCTCAGCAAATGGGATTCAAGCGATAATTTATCTTGGATCATAGAAAAAAACTATTATTACACAATACATGGATAAAAATTTTCATTTAATTTCCAGACCAGTAGATGATTTGAAAACATGAAGAAAGCGTTTTAAGCAGTTGTAGCTGATGGGATGCATGCTAAAGGAAAGCCATAAAGCCCCAAATGCTTTAAAGTCTTCTGCAGATTTGTCAAATTTTGCTTACTGAACAACTCCTTGAGATATAATAGTAGCTAGGATACTCATATTCAGCTGCCCTAAAAATAATTGATTCCGCCTCTCCCCTTTATATAGAAAGAGAGTTGATGGGAAGGTTACTAGCTCATCCAAGTCCATCTCGTTTTCCTCTCTTTCCAGTTTCTTCTACTCATTATGGTAGGATTGATGGCATGAAATTCAGCAAATAAATGTAGCTAATGCTGCATTTTAGCAAAATTCTCTCCTCTAGTTTTTGTGGTAGCATTTTAATTACTTGAATATCATACCATTTGAAGCTTTCATATACCATCTATGTTTGAGACACAGAAGAGATGAAAATGGAACTAATTATTTATATTGATGGCAGTTTGACAAGTGAACCCCCCTTATAAAGGTCGTAAATGGCTAAAAGTTAAGGAGTATAAGGTCAGCTAAAATCACCAAACTAATTTGATTAACAAGCTCACAGGTATTTTTTTATTTTTTTTATTTTTTTATTTTCACAACCAGATATATAATAGTATTTCGGCAAATGAGAGCTTACATGCATGCTGCTTTCCCTTAGATTTTCCAGTGACTCAGCAAGCTCTACTTGCTTTGATGCTGTTGCAAACAGGGCCTGTTCCAGATAGAATCAAAGTAAGAACCTATAAACATGCTAACAACTTGGAAAACACATCTCAGTAAGTAGATATAATAATGCTTTTACCTTCTTCGTCTTCTGCAAGTCATACTCTATAGCTTTGATTCTTTTTAACGACTCAACAAGTGTTGCCTCTTTATCTGGAGGGATTCTTGTAGGTTTATTTACGAGGTCTGTCACCATCTGCTCTAAATGCTGAAGCCTTTTCCAGCAAGGATTAAGCAGAGAGTCCTCAATCTTCTGAACAACAGCTGGAATTTCGAAACCTGGCTCTTGCTCAGACTCAGACTCTGGCTCTGACTGTCTAGCTGCTAAATCAACAGGCTCGCACTGCACCTTTGGCTGATTATCTTTTAGTCTAAGCGCCCAAAGTTTTCCCAAGGAACGAAATAAAATTTGCAAACATGCAAAAAATTTGAATACGAAGCCAGCTGGTAAACCCCTCACATCAGGAATGACTTTCAGAGACCTCGTTTCTTCGCTCTTTCCAAACGCATGATCTGCTCACAACTTCCAAATTAGGTGGCTTGTAATGTCTAGTCAATAAAATAAAGAATCAACTATATACGAAGTACTAAATAAGACATCCTCCCAGGAACAATGATCCCTTATGTCACAATATAAAAGATATTTACAGAATTTGTTGAAGAGATATTCAATTAAGCTTAATTGGGAATTTTGCAGTTGATAAGAGAATCAGGTTCACTTCAGGGCTAGAGTTGTCCATTAGAAAACAAACCATATCCTTCCTTTTCCCACTAATCAATTTCTAGTGAAAACTCAAGTTCAAAAAAAGTTAGGAGTTTTATGAGGACATCATGCTTACACATTGTCCTTTTGTCAAATAAACTATTGAAATCGTGTAAATGATACCAACAAGACAATGACATGTGAGAATAAATGAGAGTAAATTATAACAGACAAAGGATCACATACTTGTTAAATTAGCCTCTTCAGCTTTAGCTTTAGTTCTCACTATTTCCACTGGGTTGCCAATGCACGAAGATTCACCCAATATTACCTGGGACAGCATAAAGATGAGAGACAGAAGAATACGTGATTTCAATTATGTGTCCGTAACCTTCAAATTGTGCTAAAACTCAATGTTATTCAATAGATTGATATAAGCAATTGCAATTATACAAATGGCAATATTGATGTGAGAAGACATGTGGCTTTTCATATTTGTAGTATACATTTAGCAAATTAGCCTATATATATACACTTTTCCATCAAATGAAAGGTTTTATAGCAACTAGGTTCAATGCTCTGAATGCCTCTGGCCAGGCATTTCAGCATATCTTACGGTCTCAGCCACTCAGGAGGATATTTTCACTGGTTACCAGGTCAGCACCATATCAAACAACTTA